GACGATACTGCAAAGTACATTTTCAATTTGATTTGGCATAGCAACGATGATGTCACAACGCTAGTAGAAATGCTAAGAGCTAGGGGTGCCTTGATAGGTATTATTAGTGCAGCTACTACTACCTAGGCCTTGTTTAGGCTCCGGGAGGTCAAAATTTTGCAGGGACTATAACAATTGAAGGAAAGAAAGAAAGAAAGTTGGCAACTCGACCTAGAAGTAAGCAGTCAAATAAAAGGTCAAAGTCTAGTGCATTCTTAATAGCAGGGAAGTAAAGCACAAGCAATTCCAACAACGTCGTGACTAGGCCAGCATGACGGATAACCAAAGAGAGGCAATAGGTGATTATCATTGGCGTCGCATATAAGGTGTACGATTCATTGCTTAGATGCTAGACTTAGCCACTAAATCTCAAGCTTACCTAGTCGCCCGCCCTCCCTACTGCCGACTCCTGCTGCATCATAAGTCCCGATAAGGCAACCCGGTTTGCAACATGCCGTTCTCCTAATCGCTATCCCTTATCTAGGCTCACAGTGTGTAGAATCTTTCTGTATGGTTGGCTGGCCTCCCCGATATTGTAGGTGTTTATAGGAAGGACGCTATGTGATTAAGCTTTGCTAGTTATAGTATGATAGAAGGCGCACATCTTATAGTCTAAATTTTATCTCTAGTAGGGCGTTATTAGTTTAGGCGTAGGTAGTTAGGAGGGAGGAAGCGGACGCGACAGCAGCCAGCACAGCTTTTGCCTTAGGCTATAGATGAAGCAGAGACGCGTTAGTCAGGTAGGTTCCTCACCGTTTGTCTATGGAAGTGGCTAAACAGGGTGCTTAAGCAGCTTACCCTTGGCGTGCTAGCCAGCTGTGCTAGAGAGACTCCTGCCTCCCTTGTCAATATGCTAGACATGTTTTGTTTAGTGGACGGCCCTGGGGGGTTTGGTTACGTAGGGGTGATTCTAGGGATGATGATTTTAATTTGATAGGGGAATAAAAGGTGTTGTTATAAGGATGTATTACCCCTGAAATTGATGCCTATGTCAGGCTGCTACATGCCCGCCATGGCGGCGGCAGGTCTCAGATGCTGTCGCTCAACGGTCAAGCCGGCCCACAGTTAGATGTAAGCTCTTGCAGGTAAGTGTTAAGCAGAGCCTTGCTGCTGCTATTGTTGTTGTTGCTGCACAGTGCCGGGGACTACGCTTGCGCTGAGGTAGGACTAAGCCTGCGGATTGTAGCTTGAGCTGGTCGGGGAGCGAGTAGAATAGTGATCTGCTGATGTATGTTGAGGGAACCGAGTGGCAGCATGCTGAGCTCCCTAGCACACACATACCCTAACAGGAAGGAGAATGACTTGATAGAACCAAAAGTTGGCCTTTACTTCTCTACTATCTTGGCTGCCACCTCGTCACAGCAGGGTTTCGGGGTGGTAGTAGCCATAAGTATTGACTGTGTCGGGTTTGCAAAGGACGGAGGTGTTTGGTGGAGAGTGCCATTGTGGGGGTGATGCTAGGCGACTTGGAGGTGCTCAGGGGAGGAGGAGGGTTCCGCATAATAAATAATTTCGGTCAGACAGTCGGCGCGCACGCTGGTTAAATGACGTCGGTAGTCAGTCAGTCAGTCAGACATATCAGTCTAGGGGTTACAGGTGTTAGGTCATTGGTTCTATTACGCGCGCAACAGGTCAGTCAGCTTAGATAACTTACTACGATTACTACTTAACCGTCGGCAGTCAGTTCTAATCGTTTGTTACAGGCGAGTCGTACGTCTAGTCGTCTGTCTGTCTTGTGCCTTGTTTGCAGGACGGAAGAAACAAGGCCGTGTGTGTGTGTGTGTAACGCTAGAACAAGCCCGTTGTATTGATTAAAGATGGACGAGATAAGCTAGACGGACGACCGCTTCAGGTAGAAAAATTTAGTTACATGCAAGGAAAGGCAAGAAGGCAAGGGTGGTGGGCAGGCGCACCCTTTGGCGACAGAATCCTGTAAATAGAATCCTGTAAATGCTCAAGCTGTATTTACAGAGCAGGGGGTTGTAAACCTGTAAATCAAGCTGCATTTACCAACCGGTCACGTTGCCGTTAGTCGTGCGTGCAAACCTTGCATATGTTTCTCTAGCACCTAAGGCAAATAATGATTCCAAGATAGTTCCTTCCCAATGCCCAGTGACCAATGATATATGTGTTACGTAGGAAGTGCAAAATATTTCTATCAAGGCCTTCCTTCAGTCTATGCCTATAGACGATAGCACATGCATATATAGTGACAGACAGACGGCAAGGCAACGCAGAATTTTTCTCAATAGTCTGCCTACTCCTCCTGTTCCAAGCCTCTTCAACTAATCCATCTCACACTAGCCTTGTGCTGATTAATGCATCTCTATGCCCTAGGAAGAGAACAAGCCCTACTACGCCCATGGACAAGAAGCGGCGGTGCCTAGTTGGTTGTTGGCTGTTGTGTTGCCGTTGTTGCTAGAGGAGGAAGGGTAGTTCATGTGTTAGTGATGACAATGCATCAAATCCGTGGCTGCCGTCAACTACGTGCATACAGACAGACAGACAGACACACTTTCCATAGCACCAAACTACCAGGTCCCTCCCTCCCTTCTTTAAGAAGAACCTACGTAATCATCACGCACCGGGGAAACAAGCATCTTGTCTCCGGTTGTCTGCAATGCTCCTTCCTCATCGTTCCGTGCGCCCTGCCAGCAGCCATGTTTTAACAGGGTGACGTGACTTCTGATTTAAAAAAGTCAAGATGTTTTTGGAAGGTGAAGGAAGCCTTTTCTGCTAGACATGGAAACTGTGGGTCCGGTACGGTTCTTGAGGGTTGAGATGACTTGTGGAAGGAACGAGACGTAAAGGAAGGAAGGAAGGAAGGAAGAAGGGAGGCTATGACTGACCGACTGCCCATACAGCCAAGCCAGCCAGCCTAGCTCTCTCTCTGTCCCTCTCTCCCTCTGCATTCTTCACCTTGGCCATCCATTTTGTACACTTTTCTCTGCTAACAACATCACCACATTCAGCTGCCTCTATGCCGATATTATTGCTTGTGAAGCTTCAAGCTCCTCCAACGCCGTATTTCTTGCGCTTTAAGGCGTCTTCGTTCAAGATGGCAACCATATCCACCGTTCCATTGCCGTCCTTTGGCAAACCCACCCACCTTTTACCTTCCTCAACCATTCGACAGCTCTCCTCGACAGTATGACAGTACACCAACACCAAATATGACCAGCACCCAGACATGTTCCGTCAGGACCTCGAGGTCATTGACGCCCAGTCACGCGACCCTTTCAAGAGCATAGCGCGGCGAAAGGTGCGCTCCGGGGACTCCAGGGGGGGAAGGCGGAAGCCTTCCAAGCCGCCTCTCACCTAGCCCCTGTGATGGGGTGCGGTCAACGGGATGGAGCCGCACCCCAGCGGCATCAAGAAGCTCCAGGCGTACGCCGGGCAGCTGGTGGGGTGCGGTCAACGGGAGGGAGCCGCACCCCATCGGCATCAAGAAGCCCCAGGCGTACGCCGGGCAGCCGGTGTGGATCGGCGGCAAATTCCCAATTGACGTACGTCCCCCGACACTCTCATAACAGTACGGGTTTTTTTTTCTCCCTCTACTACGTAGGATGCTGACATGGATATGCTGTTAGATTGGCGCCGAATTCACGTGGGGCCCGGCCCTGGGCTACAACACCGAGCGACCCATGGTGCGGAACAACCTCAAGTACGAACTCATGAACATCCTCTACAACCTCGCCTCCCTCTACTTCCTCTACTCCCAGCTCGCTGTTGCGCAGTCAAAGGCGGCAAGGGTCTCAAGGCCGCCGTTGGATACTTTGCCTTGGCGTCCGGGGTGCTGGATCACATGCGGAAGGGGACACTGCCCGAGCTGCACTCCTGGCGTAGTCCCGAAAACGGCTTTGGCGCTGAAGGAGAATCACGGGGCTGGTAGATGTTTGCAGGCTCTGGGCTGAAAGGTGCTATGTCATGCTGGGTTGTTAGGAGGTACCTTCATGTACCTAGCTAGAAAGGTGCTAAAACGTCATAGATAGACCCTGTTGGGTTTTGGAGTAGAAATCGACAGGCCAGGGTACAACGGTACGTGTCATATCCGTAGAGCCGTGCAGGATGGGCCGGACTTGACCCGAGCCGTTGGCGTGAATCAGCAGAAACAGAGATGACTTGTTTTTCAGCCGCATTCCGGACGCCATAAGAAGGTGTACAGTGTGACAAGACAGACGAAATGCGACCGGATGAAGGGGTAGCTACGTAGGTTGCCTTGGTTGATGGGTATACCGTTTGTGAAATGCGGCTTTGTCGACAACTCGTGGGGCAACCTTCCCAGGTAGAGATCAAGTGCAGTTTTAGCACTTACAGGGCTCCCTCCACCAGGGGAAGGTTGCCCCCGCCGTAGATACATTCCTTCTCCCCAACGTCATTACCACTATTCTCAACTACCTACCTACCTAATCACCATCAGAAATACCCATCGGCCAATTAATCAACCGATTCATGGTGGCCGGAAGGCGCCCGCCCGTCTTGCTTTTTACCTCTGCCGCATACTGACTGCATGCAGTCTTTCCTTTCCTCAAAATATCGTCAGCCTTCACATCTTCCCCAAAGGAACAAACAAACAGACCTCGCTCGTTCAACAGCTACCTTTCCGACATTATGGATATCGAAAACACGCAGTCTACGGCTTTTTTGTTGCCTACCTACTACCTACCTACTTATCTTAGCGGCCTATTCTCTATTCCAGGCTCATAAAGAGAACCAGTCATATTCCTCGTCCAAGCCGCTGTCATATACCCCGGTCCGATGCTAGCACCTCGCCAATCATTCTCATAAACATCCCCCTGCCGCCCTCAAAATCACCCTTGCCTTATTAATTATCGCTGCCGCCAACAAATGCCGCCAATCACAAGACCCGCCGAGGGCGCAGCAGAAGCATTAAAAGATCAAGGCACCGATGCCAAACCCTTTGTCTGTCATGCCCTGGAACCCAACCCCTTCGCTGACCTATGCACCTGTTGCTGACGCCTTTTGTGGCCCAGGTCCGAGACTTTTTGTGCAAGATTGTCGATCAAGACTCGACGAACCGAGATTCGATTTCCCCTTTTACCGCCCGTACCATTGAATCCTACCCCGAGCCGCACCGCAGGAAAGTACGGTTGGGCATTATTCGCACGCTACCTAAAATACGACACGCCAAGACCACGGCCATGAACGGCCTGGCACCTGAGCAAAGGAAGGCTGCCGAAGCAGCCCTCAAGTCTGAAGGTCGCTCAAGAAGCAATGCACGACGATTAGGCGAATATTACCGCTACCTTGATTCGACCTGGGGCTCCCGCCGCTCTTGGCTCCCAGCGGAGTACTTCTCCCATAAGGACCCGGGTCTCAACATCACAGGGTCTATGAAGAGGATCACCGCAGTCGCCATCAATCACGGTATCCGTCTTCCCTCTCTATGGGAGCCCGGTGGTGCCTTGCATCAAGTCGCTCATTCCCAAGATGTGCCCGCCCTCTCAGCAAGACCTCTCGCTAACGCAGCCTCTGAGTACGAGAAGCTATTCCTGCCAAAGGACAGCCATGAATTCGACGCCAAGGCCGAAACGCCCGAACAGGGCAGATTACAACCCATCCCGCCCGACGCATCCCTTATAACACAGATCTACTCGCCGGAAATCACACGCCATGTGTCTGATTCCAATCTGTCACCCGACCCGCCGACATCACCAACCCCAGTTCTGTTGCCACTTGGCTATGTGCCTGATGCTTGCACAAGCTTAGCCGACAGCAATGATGGCGAATCCCAAGTTTACGACATTGGTCACGATTCATTTGGCAACAACAGCGATAGAGATGACGACTACGATGCCGCGAAAACCCCTGCCCCTCCTCGTTCTCTGCAGTGTCTTCTCATTCCGAACTCCATCACACCCACCGACTCGACGCCAAGCCTCCCGCTATCCGAGGAAGTGGTCAAGACATCACCAGGTGTCGAGCGTGTGAGTTCTTCTCCGCCGAATCAATCTTGCCCCCCACTGGACGTTTCGGTTCCGGACAACGACGAGGACGGGTCGCCTCATCATGTTGACGCTTTGATTCCCATTCAAACAGCTCTCGCCCAGCTCAACGCCCCAGGGACGCGCTTGGTGGGGGACACGATTTGGGCTTTGATAAGAACGGTTGGCCCAGACAAAACCACTCTCAAACGCCAACATATCAAGATCATGGACCCCCTCTACTTCAAGATTGCTGCTGCTGCTGCTCCGGATTCTGGTCAGAGGAACTTATGCGCCTTTTCAGAATTGGGACGTCTGCATCGCCTGCGTCATTCATACATCCCGATCCATCATCCAGCCGGTATTGGCCATTGGACACTTGCGCACATGGAGTTCTCCGAGTCCGATAAGAATCCGGTTGTCTCGGTACGGCACTTCGATTCTCTTTCCTGCACTGACCGATCAAGAACAGTCCGCAAAGAGTTTGACATGCTTGTGTCCCAATCGATCCCCTAGTGTCAACTAAACTTCCAAGAGATGGTAAGTTCTTTCAGACTGCGTTCGTTTACCCTCATGTTCCAGCAGCACATACTCACCCAGGTGCACACAGGCGTGTCCTCGCCAAAAGGATGACATCAATTGCGGCATCTTCGTTCTTGTATTTTTCCAACACCTCATTAATGGGACACCTATCCCCCAAAGCATCGACCCAGCCCATAAGAGACAGCGTCTCCTCAGGCTGCTGACGCCGCCGACAGACACCCCGACCCACCGTCGTCGTCTTACGATTATTCCCGAAGAGACTTTCCCCGCCAGAGAGTATCCCGTTGCCGATGGCCCGTTGACTGCTTTGCAGAGTCTGACTCCAGTCAACAGTCGTCAGAAACCGCAGTCAAACACCCCCGGCCTTGCCCTGGTTAGTCCGAGCGAACGACAGAGCAACAGCGGGAGCCATAACGGGAAGCGCAAACTCCCAACTCTGGTACATGATCCGACAAGCCTCAAGCGTCAGTTGATCGACTTTGTTACCAGCCACCGGGTAGATGACGGGTTGCTACGTGATGCCTCGTCCTGTTTGGAAGAGAGCTCTCAGATGGCGGCGAGATTAAGTCGGGAGGCGACCGATGCCCAGAATCTCGCCCAAGGACTGCAAGACAAAGTGAGGCGAACACAGAGCCAACTCAACGATACTAAGATGATAGATGTCATCAGAAAGGCCACAGAAGAACGACTAGGCACCGAGTCTGCAGGAGACGAAGTCAAGGCTGCCGTTTACGGCATCTTGGGGCACGCTCAACACGCCATGACAAAGGCGGGCTGGACTGGTGTCTCGCTTTCCGAGGCCGAGAGATCGCACGACCTGGCCCAGATGGCCTGGAAGCAGGCTGGAGAGGCTGCTTCCGCAGCCGAGAAAAAAGCCCATGAGGCGACCCGTCTGCTGGAGACGTTGAGGGGTTTTACCCACCAACAGCAACAACTCCGGGAACTCGCCCTCGCTTCTGAGGCTCTGGACATGGCCTCAAGCTTTATCCCTGGCGTGGAAATGCAGGCATTGATAACGAAGGAGAGGATGGGCTAAGGTTTGAAGATGAGAGAGACTCGCAATGCCGAGAAGCATCTATTCGGCGCAACTTTGGTTCCTATTCATATCACTAAATTTCGTCCGTCTCCCTAGATCGGTAGGTGTTGTACTTATTTCGCTATGTACCTTGGGTTACGGGTGATGGGTCGTCTTGCAAAGTATTATGTTGCAGAAAGGCAGGAAGATTTCTAGCACTGGCATGTGAATGATTTTCAACAGGTAGCGAGCTTCCTCCGCGTCGGTAGCCTCCCATGCATGTATTTCGGTTTGTAAATTCAATGCACGAGTGGAAGAGATGGAATTAGTAGGCAACGTTGGGCACCTTGCACGCCAAAAACTAAGTCTGTCGCAGCCCCCCGAGCTAGAACCATCCCACGGAAAGTAACCACCCAAGACCCAAGATCTAAAGACTACAGCCCCAGTCGCCTAAAGGAATACAATGGTGAGTGACTTGGTTGTGTTCGCCAGTCATGGGGCATGATGAACGATTGTGATGGATGTGCGCACATATGCATGGTCAGCTGGAAACTTCTGGCAATTGGAATGCCATAACGAGAGGACGAAAGACGCAGAAGGGGGAACTAAGGCACCTTGTAGACGGTCTCCAAGACAAGTTGGCTTGACTGCTTGATGATCTCGACCGACCTCGCCGAACTGCAGTCCATCTCAACTGTAGACAACAACATCCACCATTATGCCGTCCGACCTTTATAAAGTGCCTTGTCCGCACTCCAGAGTACCGACAGGATGCCATTGCGAACATTCTTCTCGATGGTGTATTCTATAGACGAAACCATCTTGGCTCTGATGGCACCCCAGGCGGCGTCGGATAAGATTGCGATATTGACATTAATGTGCCTGGCGAGCACAAAGAGATCGGGTTGCACGGAAAACGGAGGTAACGGCCCTCCTTGGTTGTATGGCCTGGCCCTGCTGCCTGACAATTCCGACATGGCCCGGAGCTCGTGTTGGCATAGACGGTAATGGGTGAAGAAACCCTTCATCAGGCCTAGATCCGACGGGCGCCAGGTAAGTCAGGTCCGTTTTCCGTTTATGATGTGGCCTAGGGTGCGGCCTTGGAATGTGTGGGAGAGGATATCCTATAAGCCAAGTCGAGTTGTTAGCCTTGCGTGTCTAAACAGGCTTTCCTTGAATGCCTTCACCCTTGTTGATCTCAGTCTGCGGGGGAGGGAGGGAGAGAGGGGGTTGACTATTACTGTTGATTTGTTTGCTCGATCCGGATTTGCTGGATCCACAAGAGCTGTGAGCTTCTTGGGCGGCATTTTTCTGGTATTTTTCTGGCTGATGAGGGGCACGGACAGGTTCCACAAGAAGTTTTCTGATGATTTCAACGGGAGATGATGATCGGTCAACCGCGGAAACGGCCGGCCTGACCAGACAGACAGACAGACAGACATGGAGAGAGATGGATGGGATGCCAGCCAGGCAGGCACAGACAGGCGAAATGGCGGGCGGCGGGCGGTGTGCGGGTTGAAGGAGGCGAGCAAACGGAACGCGGGCTCGGTGTTGGTTGGAAAAAAAGATTAGGGGGGGGGGAGTCAGGTCCGGCGAGAGCGGATGTACATCACTCGAGGGTTAGTGGTGCCGATTGTGCGTACTGTAGATAGTTGGGCAGAAGTGTAATTGAGTGTCTGTGTTTGTGTTTGGTTGTAACTATCTACTACGTAGTAAGAGGGAGGTGATGGATGGAGAGGTTGCACGCAGCATGTCCCTGTCTCCTTCTTTCCTTGCTTCCTTCCTTTCCTCCTTCGTGCGGTAGTTATCACGTCAATGCACGAACTCTGCCGATCCTGTATGTCTAAACAACTACGCGATACGAGGGGGGACCGTCAGACAGACAGACAGACCAGTCCCATCCCGCTTCTTTCTCTCTTTTCCGTCAAACTCGCTCTTCTTGAAATCGTGGTTGTGGCTGCTGTCCTCACTCCTCTCCGTGCTCTTCGCCGCCGTCCTCCTCCCTTGCCACTTATCATGGAACAGCCGACGACCCTGCCGAACCCTTCCGACTTTAACACCATGGAGGATTTCTTTGAAGAAATTGTGAACCGTGGGCTGCGCGACTTCCTGCCTCTACCGTTCAAGCAGGCCTACGACCAATGGCTCGAGACGTTCTCAGCCAGCGAGACATCATCGCTTGCACGTCGTCCCTCTTCGCACCTATCCACCGTCGACCGGGACAAGTACCGCATCAGCTCGCGCCACAGTGGTGTAGCAAGTCCTGCCACCATCAACGACCTGAGCGACATCACATCCCTCCCGTCAGATGTGGGTCGAGTCCCTCTGAAGCTGCTAGTTGTTAAGTATGGCGAGATGAAGGGCCCCTACCGAGAGTGGGAGCGTCAAAACCAGAGACGACCGCAGGAGGAAGACGCTCCCTCGAACCTCGCGTCTCCCAGCCGGCAACCTCCCAAAAAATGACTCCGCCACATTGGTCTGCACAGTTCACAGCCAACCACCAAGAAACTCCATCAACACCAACACCAGCCAGTCGCGTGGCCTCACCCATTGATGTCAGAACACGTCGCGCCGCCGAGTCTCTTGGCCGCGTCTGCATCCCCAGCGCCTACGCAAGCTCCTCATCACCTGGCCCCGCGCCTCGGTCCAATAACCAGGTATCCTTCGCCCAAGACTCTCCTCGTCAGCGTCGTCATCCTCCGTCACCACCACCACCTCCTCCTCCTCCTCCTCCTTTTGCCGCAGCGCCTCTCGACGGTCGCCATCCAGCCCCCGCCTACCACAACCTTTCGTTTCCAACCAAGCATGATAAGGAAAAGTCGCGTCCTAAGGCGCTCATAATGAAGGGCGTGGAGGATCTGGAATACATCAATGCATGTTACCACGATTTGGCGCGAAAGGCTTTGGAACGCCTCGATGACTTCAGGCAGGTGTCGCTGACGATGCAGAGGAGGATGTTGCAGCTACGTCAGCTTGAGGCGGTCAACGAGCCACAGGGGGTTCCAGCCCGCAACGGCAGCATCAAGACAGCGGCGGCGGCTAAGCCTTCACCGTCTGCGGCCATGGGGAAGCGGTACTCCCAAGGGGGCAGCAGGCGGGATGTCTGGGGCGATGCAAACATCTAGTAAGGCGAGAAGCAGGTGGCCAAGGTTGCCTTTGACACATGTAAAGGAGCGCGTATCCGTCTCGTAGTAAGAAAACAACGACCTCCCTTAGCGGTTTAGACAAGCTCACTTGAGTGTATCTGGTGTGTGATTTCGTTTGCGCATGTGTCTGGATGTGCGTCAAGTGAGAGGCCCCCCCGACCTGTGGCTGGCATTGGCCAGGAGGAAGAGAAGCAAGCTCTACATCTTTCCCGTCCTGCATGAACCGCTCGCGCACAGATCTTCACTTCAAGACAACCTCACCCAGACGAAGTTTCTAGACTGGCGGTGTGCCAAAGACGTTCATTCCTAAGTGCAGTAATACATCGTTCATGTCATATAGGCCGCCATCCTCCCTCGTCTAGGAGAAGAGATGGAGATGGAAGAGAGAGATGGAAACGTTGATGCATGTCATGTCAGTTCATTTTCTCCCATCAAACCAAACTACATACCACATACCACCTTGGGAAGCGGCACATTGCTGCTCAAGGCGTTTTTAACCGCGGGAGGGGACGCGAGCGGATGGGTGCAGGGTGGTTGACCACAAGTCAGGAGCCTCGCCGGAGACTCACTCTTCTGCTGCGCACATGTCTGCGTCATTCTTCACATCCGTCTGGCCAACGGTGTGATGGATGACTTGACAATGTGTCTGTAATAGAAGGGGCCTCCCTTCGAGGAGTAGCAGCCTGCTCTGCCGCCACCTTTCCTGAACCTCACCGTCCGCGTCTGGCCAACGTGGGCGGCCAGGGGGGCTTGGGAGGTGCCGGTAGATAGGAGTGCTCTTGAACACATCCAGGCTTCAGTGGATAGGGACAATTTGTATTTACATATATGTTTTTAGTAGTATTAAAGTTGATGTAAATGAGTTGATATTTATTCAAAGTGGTGCAAACAGCCTACCTACGTATGTGCCTCATTTGCCGCGACAGCAGCACAGTGCGAATAAACAACCACCCGTGTGACTCTCGGAATTCAGTTGATGTATCTCGTCCCGAGGTAAAATACTATGCCACGCAACAAAACGACGCCGTTAGTTACGTACGGGCAGTAACCAACGCCTTATATCGCGTGAACATACAACTGACCGGACTGCCTGCTTGCCCGCGACAACTAACAAACGTTATTACTCACCACCTTCCTGGAAGCTCTGCGTCATCGGTTTCCGTGGTGTAACACAATGATTCCTGAGAGGCCGTGATTCTGTCCAAGTAAGTGCCCACTTGTCAGCCAGCGCTGCAATGCATTTTATTCACCACTAACTAACAATAGTCTTGCATCATTGCCTCTTTACCTTTTTTTTTTTTTTTTTTTTTTTTTTCGGCATTCTTGTACATCTTCAATCTTTCCGGGGCCGGACTTATCCAACAACCGACCGAAGCGGTGCACCCACTAACTCAACTACCCCGCAACCGGACATCCCCCACCTTTAGACATCCAAAAATCCCCTCCTTCATTAACACCACTACCTTTTTCAAACTATCACAACATTATCCATTTACATCCAAACAACGCAATTTTTTTAAGATACCTTCTTTAACCTATAATAAAGTAATATACTAAAGATAAGCTCTAATAGGCCCTTAATAATATAGTAAATAGTTACTTTATTTACTATACTACTTAGAAATAGGCTATACTATACTAAACACTTTAATACTAATTCTATAGGTAGTAAAGTAAAAATACTACCTATAACTATATATAGTAATTATCCTAAGCCTAGGAGGATTATCTAGCTAGATAAGTGTAAACCTAGTATACCCTAGGTAATAGATCTACTTATTAATAACTAAAGGGCCTAGTAGAGTATATACTAGGTAATACCTATAATACTTATTAACCTTTAGGTAAAAGATAAATATAGTAATTCCTATAGTAAAACCTATTAATTAGGACTTATTAATCTAGAGTAATTAATACTTAGTAATAAAAGGCCTATTCTTTTAAGGTTATCTAGAGGTTTTTTTAGCTTTTAACTAGTATTCTTACTATTTAAGAAATCTATTTATTTAACTAATAGAATATAGATAAGACTAGTATTATAGAGGGTAAAGGATCTAATAGGCTAGTACTAGGCTCTATAGTATTATAGTATATTTAAAAAAAGTAGCTAAGATCCTAGGTATAGATCTTTATTATTAAGTATATAGCTACTAATAAAAGGTCCTTATACCTACTAGTTATATATAAGGGTAAATTAGTCTAGGCCTAGTAGTTCTTATTTAACTTATCTAAATATAAAAGATAGTACTTTATATATATAAATAATAACTAAATAACTAAGAAGACTACTCTTAAGTAACTAAAGAAGGTCTTTATCTTAAGCACTATACCTAGTAAAATAAAGGTAGCTAGACTACTAGTTCTAGATAAGTATTATAGCTATATATTAATAGACTTTATATAGGAATATTTTTAGAATAATATATATTTACTATATCTACTACTATACTTCTCTACTGTCCTTTAGCTACTAGATATATTAGTCTTTAGCCTATTAAAGTATACTTATTAAAGGGAGGTTAAATATCTAGATAACTAGGTTAGTAATTTAACTATTACTAGCAAGAGGGCGTTTTTAGCCTATTATATAAAGGCTAAAGATATAGCTATAATAGTCTAGAATATTAAAAGTAGCTAAAGGTTAGCTAAACTATAGCTAATATATATACAGTAGCCTCTATTTAACCCTATAGTTACTAAGGACTAATAGACTAGCTAAACTAGCTAGCCTAGTAGCTAATAGTAAGATAAAGCTATATCTATTATCCTATAGTTAACCTTTTATTAGTCTACTAAATTATAGTATTAACTACACTAGTTAAACTAGTTAGCAAAGGATAAGTTAAATGCCTATACTATTTATTACTTATCTAGAAAGATATAAAAAAGGTATAATAAGTAGGCATCTAGAAATATATTTCTAGAGTAAAAGGTCTACTAGCTAGAGGGTAAGTTAGATAACTTATAGTAATATAAGAGGAAAAAGGTCCCCTTATTACCTAATAGTACCTTTACTACTATATATAATATCTAGTGGGCGTAAACCCTGGATATTGGCGATATAGATAGTCTGGATGAATCCAGCGCATCCGAATTACCCAGCGAGGCCGGAAGTTGCATATAGGTGGGCGGTAGAGGTGGTGAAATAAGTGGTGATAGTGGTGGTGATGGTGGTGGTGATGATGGGCCGGATGTGGGGGGTAGCCGGAAGTAGGGTAGTTGAGTTACTCTGCCGAGGCGCCATCGCATCACCAACGGCCCAGCTGGATCCAGCACGGATGGATGCAAACACGTCATCAGGCACCCTGTATCTTCTCATCTTTATCAACACGACGACAACTTGGTAAGAATCCGAACGCTCAACGTTGATGGGCATGTGTCTAATGTTCTGTCTGCCCCAAAGAAAATCATGCTTCCCCAAAAACCCCCAACTTCAGTAATGTGTATCAGCAACAACCAAGGCCATGCTGAACACCTCCCCCCCATAATGTCCGTCTACTCTCTTCTCTGCTGTACCCCTGCGACGAGCTCAAGTCTTTCCCAGGTCTGGTTGTACAGACGCCCCAGCTCCTCGTCTTGTTGGCGGAGCTCAGTCGTAATCTTGTCAAGGGCGCCCTGCAAATCCACCATGCGCTCTAGCAGCATCTCTTGCTGAAAAGGCGTAGAAATACACCAGGCCGTCTCTCTTTCTTGGCGGTCTCGTCGCTCCACATCCCTCTTATTGAATGCTGCGAGGTAGGCTGCCGCATCCCTTTGCTTCAGCATCGTGGCTGCCAGCTCAGTGGCGCCATCCGCCAGAGTTTCCATCACCCGCATCGTCGATAGTATGGTCGAATCGTGCGCACCGAGCCTCGGCATGTCGGCTTGGACTATGGCCAAAAGGGCTTGTCCCTCGGCCGCCACAAGGGCTAGGTTGCCCCTAAAACGGGCGTATCGGTCCACTTGATCCAAAGCCTCCTGCGGGGCAGCACGCGCGGGTGCTTTGGTTCGGCTGTCGCTTAGGCGGGGCATGCTGCAGTTCAAGTCGACGACTTTGCCGCTGATGACTTCTGCCATCACCCGTCTCCAAAACCGGCAGTCAACGTGGGATGGCAGCGGTTCTTCGGTTATGGCGAATAGAGCAAAAACAAACACAAACGTGCCGCAGTCTGAGTTGTTGCTCGGAGTGTTGCTGAGTGTTGCTGAGTGTTGTTGGCCTTAGTCTCCCTTGGCGCGTCTTGTTTGTCTTTGGAAGGTAGTGTTTGACGAAAGCAGACACAAGGTCTTGGGCTCTGGCTGTGTTTGCATTTGACGGCATCGAGTCCATTAAACGCATGCTTGTGGCCACCTGCTCCGCATGTTCAATGACACACAGGACCCAGTGAGTGTTTCCCAGGTTGACTGTCAGAATCAGCTTCTTGGATGCTGCAATCCATCCCTCTAGCTACATCCCTCTTGGGCATGTAGTCAGGCCTTTCCGCTTGAGAAACGACCCATAAGTAGGAAGACAAGCTCAATTTACCCCAGAGAGAGTGGAGTTGCTTTGGAGAGCCTTGCCATTCAGGACTTGGTGCTCACGCTCACGGAATGGGTTGTTCGTGCTTCTCTTCTCGTCAGGCTAGGTAGGTGGACCCAGATGTAGAAGGTGGCTGCCCAAACAAATTGCCTGTGCACGCGTCCCTAGGCTGTCCAGTGGTCTGTGTCGACAGTGGACAGACCACTGGACAGTGGACAGAGTCTGAGGCATTGCCACAGTGGCGCAGCTCTAGGCAGATTCAGGCCTGAATCAACCCAGACCTACCCGGTGGTATTAGTCAGCTTGGAGTGGGTGGTTAACTTTGCCAAGAAACCTTCCGCCCACGGGTACACAACACACATCATAACATCAATCAATTGAACAAGGATTATCGCCGTCTCGAGGACCGTGTTCCAGCCAGCGCGTGTCCCACTTGTCAAGGGTCGATTTTCTGGGTCGATCCACACCTTCCTTCCTGTCTATGTCCTGCGGGCTGCGTTCCGACAGCGACTGGCGGGCTCCTCTCCGACGTCGCATACTCCAGGCCATCCATCCATCCATACCCGCATGCTTCGCAGCAGGGTCAGTCTATCATAATGAGACCTGTTCTGTCTTTGGCTTGTACTGATTTTCTGTTTGAGTGCCCAGCCTAGCGCGTCTTTACTTAAAGCTGGTTCTCGCACTCCAGACCCCTCTCCAGACCCCCAGTCCCAAGCCGACAACAACCACAAGGACGGGACCAAGGCAGTCGAGAGTCACATTAGCGATAATACACAAGACAACGCCCACAACGAAACTAGCGGCAATACGAGCGGCATCAATCGTTGGCAGAAGGACGACAGTCCGCAGGAAGGCACCGAGGTATATAACATTGAGACGGGTGGTTTGCTCGACCTTATGGGTTCCGACCATGTGGATATGTATGTGTGGGTTGGCTATGGTTGATGCCGCGCCGATTGCGACACTTGGTTGAACTTTTCACACCACCACAGCATTGTGAACACCCAAACAAGCCTGCTAGTGGATTTACCCATACACGACTGGTTCCTCCACCCCGACAAGTCGCCTGGTGTACGGACGCCCCTCTTCGTTCTCCCCTTTCGCCGTTCCAACTGCCTTCAGGCATTCTCAGGGTTTGTCATCTCATCTCAGTGTCTTCCATTTCCCCTCCAATATCCTAAAAATCGTCATATCATTATCTATCACTATCCTAATAATACCATCAGCTAATACATACCACCAGGCCTCTGGCCCTGTATTGTGTGCGTGTAGAGCTTCCGCCAATGACGACTTTCACTTCGACGGCCGGCCCGGCCCGGCCTGCCAATTCAACCACCGAACAACACCTCCCGCCGTTACGCAACTTCGAACCTCCAGGCAACGGCAGAGTCATCGTGGCTTGCAACGAAGCCATCGCGACCTTGGTGGTAGGTTCGATAACGCCATCATCGCCGTTCAGTGTGGCTCGCCCGCGAGCCCGCGCGAGCTTATTCGACAGCGGTACGTCAAGCCACGGCCCGGCAGCGACTCTCCAAAGTTGCCGCCGACGTTCCAGCGCCCAAAGGTCGGTCGCGTATGCATCCAGGCCACAGTTAAAGTGAAGTCAGATTCGGCTGTTGCTCTACGTTAACGGGTATTCTTTACTCTGTACCGTATTAAGATATCAAGATCTGGCACAGGTCAGAGGTGTTCTGTATTGGGTTTGACGTACTGTGATATTACATATGTATCGGGTGAACTGCACTATACCTTATAGGGGTTTAAAGCAATCATTTATATACTCATCAATATATACTACTACCCGTCTACCTAGATCCATAGTGCTACAAGCTCTTCTTTGTTAACATACTTAAGTCCCCCCCCCCCCCCCCCAAGACTTGGTCCCCGTCATCCACTCTGAACACAGAAGATATTCCACAGGTGCTGTCCTAGGCTTCTTTGAACTTGGGTGGTTTGCTTGTCTAACTCCCCAACAGCCTGTAACTTGACTAACCCTCAGGAGGTGGGCAGGATCGTGAAGGGGGAGCGTCTTTACCTCGTTATAGAGCTCTAGTCTAACGGGGCTTGCATCTTGTCTTTCGTCGTTTTTGATGACAAACTCCCTCTGCCTCGATGAGGGTAAGTGCAGTCTGCACGACGCCGACAGCGTCGTCTGTTGCTTGTTGACGAAGAACATGGCTCTGATTGCCAGTGGCGGTGCTGCCGAGATTGATATCGCGTTGCAGCTCTCCAAGCAAGCTTGTGAACGCACTGGCACCGAGGCCATCTGCTGGAAGGCTTTCGCCGACTCGACTGAAAGGCATTGATCTCGCGTGTACCACGAAGGCCTGAAAACGATAGCAAGGTTAGGCTACCTAAATTAAACATCAAGTCAAAGGTTAATGAAAGGTCCCTTGTATCGTCTCGCAACCCAGTCCTACACGGTTTCCGCAGGCTGTTTGGCCATGTGTTTGTTTCTTTCGAGCCTTTTCCGCCTCGGCCACCTTCTCCGTGATCAATGCCCTCCAGCACCTGAGCTTCTCCCTGACCTCGGCCGTATCCTTAAAGGACCACCTTGCCTGATTGGGTGGGGTGAGCACATGCCGCGCACAACATGTCAACGGACGCTCCCCAGCCGGTTGTTACAGTCCGTTGCGCTTCTACAGCCTTATCCTCTTGTTCCCGCAGGGACCATGACTGGGTTGATGCGCGTCAAGTATTCCATCTTGTCCTTGTCGTTGTCCTGATTTTGGTCTTGTCTTTGTCACGGGCGGCGGTAGCGTGGACAGCCTCGTCACCTCACGTTCGTTCCGACGGAGGGTCTGACTCGGGAGTCCAAGTCAGCGACCATTCCCCGGAGCCCGGTAGGCGACCTATGGATGTGAGAATTGAGACGAGGGCGTCGCCAGGCATTAGGTACCCAGGTTGGGTGGAACATCAGCTCGACAGGCTGCGTTTATAGGGGCTCGGGTCCACCTCGGACGTCAAGGAGGAATCACGTCAATGGGCGTTTTGTATCTTCTTATTGCTGCTGCCTCCGCTCTTGGATTCCAAGCGAGAGGCGCATGTATCAGGGTGTGGACCACAGGTTTGTTTATTCGCTCGTGTGTTTGTTTGTCGTCAACTTTTCGTATCTTTCTGATGAGATTGTCAGGATTGGGAATTTTGGTTTATCCCGAAAGACTTGGTGTTGCGAGAGGTCACCTTGTGGCATCGCGGCTGCGGACTCCCGCCTCTGCTCGATCCTGCTCCTTGGGATCGCGGTCCTGGCCCAGGTACCTGGCCAACCCACGCTAACCAGCTTCTCAAACGGCCGCCAAAGTATGTGCTTCCACGGGTAAGGTTCCCACCATCGACCAGCGGCCGCACACAGCGCCTGGTCCTCGACCTCCAGCATGTACTCGCCCTCACTCAGCGCCGCAACAAAGTCCCTGAACTCGGCCTCGTCCGTCTGTCTGGCGAGATCCGAGTGCTGCGTCGACGCATCGTTGGGCATGTGGTGCGCCATGACAAGACGCCGCGTGAGGTCGAGGAGGATCTCGCTGCCCTCCCTGAGGTCTGAACACACAGCTTGTCGATGTTGATGTGGCCGATCTGCTGGGGTGCCATCCATGACGCACGACGCTGACGTGGATGCAGAGGCAGAGGCAGAGACGGAGATGATTGAGGTAAAACCGCATGACGGCGGAGGCGGCCAGAGGGCGGGGCCGTGTTTGCGGTGGTTGCGGTATTGTCGACATTCGCGGCCGCTCTGATTGTTTTCCATCGCTGTCTCGGTTCGTCGCTGTTGTTGCCGTCGTCGCCGCCTCTGCGGACCAGGCTCAGATCAGGCCGACCCGGGAGCTTCAGCGAGCTCTGCATGGTCTGGTCCACCTCCATTAACACCACCTCTGCCATAACACTACCTCTATTAACACCACCACAACTAGCACCACCACAATTAGCACCACCACAATTAACACCACCTCTACTAACACTACAGTGCCATGTCAAAAGTCTCAAGCCTCCCCACAACATGGAGCTTTTGTAGGGAGGCTTGAGACTTTTGACATAGCACTGTAGCGATCAAACAAGAAGCTGTGGTTTTGGCCATGGCCATGGCCAAGATGGGCCGTAGGGGCCTCAATGCAGAGGCGGCGGCGGCGGCAGCCAACCTGCTAATGAATGCGACGGAGCGGAGCGTGTACGGCTCTAACTTCCTGCCGGCCCTGCGCGACAGGCTGGGCGGGCAAGATTCCAATTCTATAGAGGGCGCAGGTGGCGACCAAGAAGGATTATTTGCAGATAGACTGCTGGCTTCCTTGGTCCATTGTACGATAGAACGAATACGCTGATGTAAGCGTGTACCCCATTGCAGCTTTTGGACTGTGGCTTGGAAGCCGCGTGAGAACCTGCTGACGTCGGATACATGGTGGACTGGTATTCGGGGCTGGGTCTCCCGTCTTGCCCCGTATCTCAGGTTCCCAACCTCTTGATGGCTGACAACGCGTGGCTGGCTGTAAGTAAGTGTGTGACGTGATGTGACCATGCTGCCTAAAGCTGTAATTTTTCAATATGTGATGGATATCATGAGAAGTTCGCAGCGCCAACGCTGGGAGTAAGACGTCTCTCTAGGTCACATAGGTGCCTAGGTACCTATGCTTGGAAGCCACAGACGCCTCACGATCTTTCATGAGACGTCAGTCAATCCATCCATCCCTAACCCTAACAGCAGTCATCTTCGCCTTCACCTTCACACCTAACCACACCGCAGCTCGATGCGGCACATCAAGTCAACACCAAGCTTGCATCGATACCGCTACTGTCGCAAGGTAATGTAATAAGCCACAATTGCAGCACGGCAAACACGGTCGCCATGGCCTCAACCCACACCAAAATTCAACAACACATCACCAATGATCGAGAGGAAGAAGATGACCGGATTGCGCCACCCTTTCCTGCAGCGCTGCCCGCCGTGATAAGAGACAGACCACTGAGCATCGTGGTGATGATACAGGCCACACGCTACATTCATTCATCTGTTTATCCTGATCGACTTGCCCCAACGTCTTGGCTGTCGCCGCTGCCCATGGCACAGCTTGTCTCTCTGTTTCCTTTTTGCGTAAAAGACTCTCGACGTTATCGCCATCGCCTTTCCATGTCCGCAGGTCAATCCATCCATTTATCCATCCTACACGATCCAGATCGCTAATTACCATCAGAGGTTTTGTTTCATCGACTCCAAACGACTCCTCCCCTCACTCTCTATCTGCGTCTTTAGACGAAAACATCCCTCTAGTGTTGGGTAATCAAGTCGACCTGCCGCCACACCCACAGAATCTAAGAATCGATGCAGCAGGAGAGACACTGTTGTAGCTCAAATTACCCCAACGCCGCCAGCAATGCCTACAAGACAGCATTCCCCTCCAGTGTCGCGCCATCGCTTATTTACAGTGTCTAGATGCCAGCCGTCATTGGATAATACCCATATCAGAGAACCCCCTGAACTATGTCTTGTGCTTTGTCGTTAACATTCTGTAATTCCCTTCACGTCGATCCTTCCCCTGTACAGATAAGCTAGGGAGGAAATAAGGGCAGATTGAATCAGCAAGTCAAGGCACTGAGATTTGAGGGCGGCGAAGCAGGCGGTAATCCCACGATGCACTATAATCCTGACGAACCCACAAAGCGATCACATACGACCATACCCACTGGATAACTCGGGATCCCGTCCGCTCTCCCATAGATAAGCCAGTGAGGGCCGGATTAGTAGTTGGTTCGGTGACGACCAGCGAATACCTGGTGTTGTATGTTTTTGCCTCTTTCTTTTTATTATTTGATATGAATATGACGGGTGAGCTGTGTGTTGCTGGATACGAAATATGCTGACTGCTTTGTACTTGCTCGCCGCCACTCACCTCTTACCTCGACTCTCAAAACCTCTGACATGATGTCACTCTAAATGGAATCGGATAGTGCAAAATAGTCAGCAAATCATAATGCAGGGGGTCGCCAAATCAGGAAGGAAAAAGCAGTACATGACTCGCGCAATACACTCAAGAGGGGTTCGCTCTTGTTAGGTACTTTAATACTTACTTGCCTGCAGGTAGCGACATAGAGATAAGATTATTAGGGCAATTAAGATAGGGGGTGACCGTTGTGTGTGGTAGCTTGTGTATGGGCAGCTTTGTCTTTGTTAGGCAGCTTTGTTTTTGCCGGGCAGCTCTTGCCTTTATGTAAGCACACTTCGCCTAGGCAGCTTTTCTTTGCGTGGGCAGCTTTGTTTTTGCCGGGCAGCTCTTGCCTTTATGTGTAAGCACACTTCGCCTAGGCAGCTTTTGTGCCACACTGAAAAACCTACCCTATTGCAAAAGCTGCCACAGGTCGTTTGCAATCATGGATTGACAGATTACGTCACTTACGTATCGATAAGCTCTTACTCCACTTTTCTAAATAAAAAACCGCGTGGCAGCCCATCAAGGTACGTATATACGCATCTAAAGGCTTCGTTTGCTTCTGACCTTGGCCGATTGATTCTCTTCGATTTCCAAGCAACACACACACACACACACACACGATGGCCATCAGGTGTCTCGGTTGCTGTCTCAGTCGCCCTCATCTCTTGCTCCCCAATGTCACTCGAAAGCATTGTGGATGCAATCAACAACGCTACTTGGGAAGACCCCTCAACACAAGCTGCTGTTGACCTGGTTTCCTTATGGGATCGCTTGGTGCAGCATCACCGTGCTGAATATAATAGTTCTTCCCGCGGCGCCGAATCCCGCCCGACACCCACCGAGATCCAGCTCGATCTTGCCCGTTTGGCCCTCGAAAAGATCTGCCCGCCTGTTCTTACCGCTGCCTGCTCACTTCGATACGACCGTCAACTCCAAGATAGAAGCCAGTCCTCTGACCTCAAACTCCGCGCCCGCCGCGTCGCCAAAAGCTTTGCTACGACACCGCACATTCTCTACTTTGTCCTTCGGGACGGAATCACAAGCCACGTTTTCCTCGACTCCCTGGGCCGTCTCTCGAAGCGGTCCCAACCACCCACGTTGCTCGAGCTTGCCACGCGGCTTCACCTAGCCTATCAAGAGAATTCCGGTGGCGATTCCGCCATCCGTCGTAAAACTCTACTTCGTTGGGGGTAAGTCCACCTCGTTTGCGCCCCTCGACATGCCCTGCCCCTCCCCTGCGCTTTGACACGCACTTGCTGATGGCATCTACGCACCAAACAGGGCAGACATCTGGCCATCAAAACGAACCAAAGTCTCGTACTCCACAGACTCGATCCGCGACCATCCCGCCTCATCTTTTCCGACGCCCGCGATGCCTACAGATACTCCCATGGCTCCTACCCCCGAGACCCCAAGGCCCAGAACCAGTCGTCGTGCCTTATCCGGCTCTCCTAGTCCTTCAATCTCGCCACATCAGCATTCTTCATTCTGGGATGCGAACGAAAACGCCCACGATGACCAAACCATGATGGGTATCTCGGTTACTCCTGTATCGACTCTGCAGCCTGTGCCAAAGGGAGCACTGCCAGCCCGTCTCAGTGCCGGTCCCAGTGCCGTAAGCCCAATCAATACGGCTCCCAAGAATATTGGGCCTTTGACACCGGTTCCGGTTCAGCCGGTGAAACGGCCTCACCTGAAGGCATTCCCCAAGGAACAATCGCAGCCATTGGCCACTCTACCCCAAGACAATACCTACCGACCAAACAAAAGGAGTTGCCAGCCATTAGTAGTTGATTAGGCAACTTCTTATAGGAGCATCCTTGGCCAGGTCGTGGACAGTCTAGACACACTCGATGATAAGCAATGGCTGAACGACGTGGTTGTTAACGCCTTGGTTAGTTGCCTACGCTCTAACAAAGTAGTGTAGATATCTAGCCTTGTCATTAAAGCGTGGAACAAGCCTGACAGGATGCGACAGAGGATTTTAACCTTACTTGGTGACCATGACATAGTGCTAATCCTGGCGTACAATAATTAGCAGAAGCACTAGGTGCTCTTCTGCTAGGTTCATTAGGATAACTATCTTGACGTCTATAATCCCCTTAGAAAGGAGGCTAAGGGTTCAGGTGTTCTAGTCTTACAAGTCATTTCATTTCTTAGCTAGCTTCTGCAAGGGCTATAAATTACCTAGAAAGACATAGTAAGGAAAAGCTACCTAAAGTAAGATAACATATAGGATTATAGAGTCTATGTTATTAAGATTACCTATATACTTACTATAAGGGTAGAGCTACTAGCTGTTCTTAATAATAGAGGTTTATGTTAAATAATAAAGCAGTAGCTAGTTATAATGTTGTATATACCCTAGGCACCATTAGAACTATGTATTACAGTAAGTAAAGCCTTATTATAAATTATAGGTATTAGGATAATCTGCTGCGCTGGAGTAACAGCAGTAATATATATCTTGGGGGCACCCCCTGATAATTTGATCCAGCGTGAGGTCCTCTCTCTTGGGATATAATAATACAAAGACGTAATTACTATCCTGCTTAAAAGCCACCTAAAGCACATTAAGCGTGTTTAAGAGCTACATAAGGCTACTCTTGCAAACAGGAGAGTTATTAACACACTGTCAGCGTACGCCGCAATCCGCAACAAATACCCTAGTACTACAGAGTTAGTGCTTTTCCATAATGCACTAGTGTATATTAACATAGCTTCAAGCCTAGTGGTCTCTGGCCGTGGCTAGTCCTTTATCCAGGAACAAGAAGCCTACGTTGACGAGCTGTGGGGTAGGAATGCTGTTCGGATCTTGATGCTGCATCGCATCTTGTAGCGGCAGGTGGAATTGTCAGAAGCAAGGGCCCAGCTGTTGGCCTTTTCAAAAGGGAATTGAGGCTGGTAGATTGCGAGCTTATGGGGGCGTCTACGAAACAAACATGGACTTACAATAGTGCTTGGTGCAATTCAAAGGATTAACTAGCAACAGCATGGACTTGGGGACCTTGTACAGCATCGGTTTTGAGAATCATTGATAGGAATTTTCCAACCCTGTTTGGCTTTCACACGATTCGCGCGCTTCTCAATGTCGGTGTTCCCTTTGTTACTAGATGCCACGCACCTTATCGCCGGATGGAGGACCCCCCGCGCGTTATGTTCTGAGTGAATCCCCTCATGAAGGTGTCGCGATGATCTCATATGCATTATGGTGCCCATGGCGGACCTAAAACAGCCCACGACATCGTTGGGCATGCGACGTTATAGCAAAACAACCCGCTATATCCCCTTCTTCCGTTAACACGTGAGTCTAAAGACGACACCAATTTGTCAACGCATGAATCGGCCCGAGTGTGCCTGCTGCCTGTTCTGGCAGCTTTCAATGCTGCCCGAGCGTGGGCAGCTTTTACGGTTCGGCCAGAATCTCACTCACATGGCACTTCATTATCCCAATTGTGCCCGACACCCTAGAGGCACGACGTCACAGGCTCTCGAGGGCCAGGCGCCGGGGCGAGATCCTACGGCGGTGGTGGCCGCTTTGCCTCCGGCGGCCGATATCGACAGACAAGCCAGTACCTCGGCTTCCAAGAGTGCCTGGTTGGGCGATCCCGCGATATATTCGGCAGCTTCTTCCCTTATACTAGTGGGGGTCCGTTTGGTCATCCTTTTAGAAGCCATGGCGATGATGACGATGACAATGGCGATGACAGCGATTCAACAAACTTGCAGTAACGTACTTGCATAGTGAGTCGCAGATCATAGTGAGTTACGCACGTCCTCTGCTTTTCTACCTCTTTGACCTTTACACCTACTTTTTTCTATGTACAACTATAAACTCTTCTTCTAAAGAAAGCTGAATTATCCTTGCCCTCTAAGCTATCTAAAAAGACCTAAAAATGTCTATATAAAAAGCAGCTGTTACCTTTAACGTCCTTAAATTAACTCTCTATAACTAATATATAGGATATATTATATAAGATAAGATATATCTAAAATTAAAGAAGATAATAAAAGTAAAAAAAAAGGTAATTCTTAAGAAGGTTATTAACCTAATTAATTAAAGGTTTCTTTTATAATAAGAAAATATATAAAAAATAGCTAATTTTCTCTTAGATTTATATAATATAATATATATTAGACCTTAATAAGTAAAGAACTTTATATAATAATAACCTTAATTAAAAATATAATTTTAATATTAAATTAACTATTAGAAGGCCTTAGCTAAAAATCTTATAATTATATAAGGCTAGTTTATATTTATATAAAATATAATTATAAAGTATAAAATATAGGATTATAATATTTATAATTTTAATAAGACTAGGTTTTTAATAAGAATACTATTATATATAAAGGTTATTATAACCTTTAACTATAAGAGAAGGCCTTATATAAAGTAGCCTAGTAATTAAAAATAGGTTTTTATTATTTAAGGTATATATATAAATAGCTAAGTAATACCTTTATATATTATTATAAAAAGTAAATATTACTTTTTTTACTAGTATACTAATAGCTAATTTTTAGTTAACTAGTATATTTACTTAAATAAAAATAAATAAATAATAAATAAAATTAGCCTAGATTAATTAAATTATTTTAACTAGTATATAAAGTCTTATATAAAAAGTACTTATTAACTTCTAATCTTTAATAACTATAATAACTATAAATTAACTAAATTTAATAATTTTTATAAAGAATAAAATATTATTATTTTATATATATTTCTTTATTTATTATATAAGCTTTACCCTTTTAATATAGGTTATTTTAGCCTATTAAAGTACTTATATAGTAAAAAAATTAAAAAAATAATATAAATATAGATTTTATATATTATAAAGGTTAACTTTTTTTTTACTTTTAAAGTAGTATTTTTTACTTTAATAAAAAAAAAAAATATATAAGCTAGCTTTATATAGGCTAGCTTTATACCTTTTAACCTTAAAGTAGTTATTTTTTACCTAGATTTTAAGCTAAATATACTAATACTTATTAGCTTATATTTAAGTAGCTTAAGCTTATAAGACCTAAAGATACTAACTATAGTACTAAAAGGTATATAAAGTACTAGTTTACTTAAAAAAAGAATCTAAGGTTATTAAGGTAGCTTTTTAATACTAATATATAAAGTTATTAACTTTTAAGCTAAAGGTATTAGTAAGTTAGCCTATAGGCTTACTATTATAAAGGCTAAGAACTACTAGCTTTATATAAGAATAAAAGTACTAAGTAAGTATTAGAAGGCTAAAAAGGCCTAACTATATCTTAGAGGGTTACTTAATATAGCTAAAGTAAAGGCACTATAAGGAGAAAAAAAAGATATTAAAGCTAAAGGTAAAAAAACATCCTAAAAGAAGACTTATATAGAGGGTAGTAAACTATATATATAATAATATAGTAATTATAAAAAGACTAGATATAATATATAAACCTATTAAGTAGTTTAAGATAGTAATAAAGAAGATAGTAATAAGTAGTTTTAATTAATTTTATATATTATAGCTTAATTAACTTATAGAAAAAGTAAAAAGGTAGAAGGAAGTATATAACTTACTATAATCTATGACTTACTATATAAGTATGTTACCTTAAAACAGTAACTAAATACTAATAGACATCTTGTGGCTAAAGTGTAGATGTAATATACCTGTATAAATTGTCTGCCTGCACTGGGCGGCAAAGGTGATTTAATTTACATAAAGCTTAAACAGTCATGCAGGAGGCAAGGAAGCAAGACCGCAACCAACATATCAGTGTGAGATGTGACGACAGCTTCTCAGCTCGTATCTCCTCTCCGTCTCGTTCCTTGTCATTCTACTCCATCCACCGCTTTCTCTCTCCGCTCTCCTGACCTCGGATTCAAACACCACTACCAAAGGAGGTTTGCCTGACACAGTTCCATCCGTTTTGGGATGGCCATCAATCGGAGCCAGAGACAACTAGTCCGTGCACCACGCGATGCCTGTCATGGCAAAGAAACATAAGATATCACTGGGCAACAGGGGAAAGCTCTCTGCCCGCCTCATGGTTGGATGCTCTTAGCAAGTCCGTCCATTCATCCGGCTCCTCTTCAACTCGCCAACAACGCTCTTCTTCTGCGCGCAGCCACACTCGCAGAGAAGCCAGGGAACAGGGCAACATAATAAGAAACCTCATCACCACGGCTCTAGTATGTGGTGCTGCAGCCGCTGTGTTCTGGATCGCGTGACTGCGCAGCCCACCGTTGCCGGTGCCTATCATGAGAGTTGACAGTCCCTCCATCTCCAAACGTCCCACGGTCGTCCATACACCATCGCCCACATCTGCGACGTGCGCCGGAACTACCTGTCCTTCAGCTAGGTGACGCATGTTCAAACGCTATACGAGGCCTTGGGCGAGACCACAAAGAAGAATGTCGTTGAATGGCCACCATCAGCCGCCAAAGCGCGGCGTCTAGATGCTCACTACCTTGGCGAGCGATATAATGGACCATTGGTATCTATCTCACATGCATTCATAGCCCGTCCTCTGAAGACCTTGACCTCACATGCGCCTCCTACTCTGCCGCTCAACCATGATCGACTATGTTGTTGCACGTGGCAAGTTGACCGTAGAACGCGTCGTCTTCCCAGGACCTAAGTACCTTTCTCCGTCTCCTCCTCATCGCCCCCCCCCCCCCCCCCCCCCCAAAAGTGTCGTGACTGACTTGCATTTATCCCCCAGCTGCTGTGAATGGTGATGAAATGGCACAAGAGGTTGCATAGCTTAACATATGGGACAATTGTAAATCTCTCGCAGGTGTACTATACCATAGAACATAGAGGGCCTTCATCACCTCTGAAGAGCGAGGTTGTGGTCTCTCCTCCCTCTTTGCTTCGTCATGTTTTGTTCTTATCTGATGCCGTTATATTCTTAGCTAACTAGAGTTAGGAGGATTCGGAGGAAGACACGGATGACCGACCATCAGCTTCACAACCACCCAAGACGCCAACCTCGGGATCTGTATCTACAAAACCTGCATCGCAAGAACACGAGAGCGACTAGGGGGGTCCTCAATACCGACCGTGCTTCAATAGACCACCTGTAGCAACGCCCGTAATTGTTCCGCCTGAGAACCACTATGTTTCTAATTGCCTGCAGTAAGCTAGTAGCAAGGCTAACCTGGACAGCCTTCTCCCACAGAGACACACCTCGCGTTCTCTACTAGTAATTTGCAAGGCTGGGACCAGCAATATATACATATATAGAGAACACTAGAGCTAGAATTCAAGGGGCTTTACGTTAACCCTCCTGTTGGTATAACAGGTGGGTGCCAATAACGGCTGGCCTTCCGGCCGGGCTGGAGCAATAGATCTTGGATTGGATATCTACGATTGCACGAAGAGGGGAAGGAATCTAGGAAGGGGGATCGTCTAGATGGGCGATCTATATAGGGGCTGTGACCGGCGTCCCGGTTGATTCGGTTCCGGATATCCTGCCAGGATATCCCTGATGCCAATTATTCCAACAACTCCCCTTTTAATCCACGCGCCTAATAATCTCAAGACCTTTCATACACCAACCCAAGTCTATATGTTCACAACAGATCACAATTCTTAAGTAACTGAGCGTGCAGACATTACATATGTAAATTCACTATACTGGTAAAAGAAGCCGCCATAACCCGTCAGTGCATCGTGAGAATCAGCTAGCAGAGGGAGGGGGCAGCGCTTCATTCAGATCAACTCAACTAACCAACTTACCCACCCTCATAAAGAGGACGCAAGAGATCCGTAGTAATATTTATCCATCCTCTGTATCCTACCCCTAATCAATACAGGTCAGGACCATAAGAACAATTCTACTATTAATGGCAAACAGAAGCATACTTCTCTACAACTCAACAGCCCGAAGGGCTTCCAAGTGACAACAAATGGCCAGACGTATATCGAACTTTTCGCACATCAATTTCTTCAACATATCAAACTCGTCTGCACATCGAATTCTTTTACATATCCGATCCTTCTACACGTCGAATGTCTAGTATATAAAGCTTTCTATAAGGTAAAAAGCCTCCTCAAGCGGGATCAAGGGAGGGAATCATCAAGAGTCGGACGTCATTAATCATGTCCCAAGTGTCGGAGTCCGCAGTTAATTACGAACCTGAGGTACAGATACTGTTTCAGGCACAACTAGAGAATTCTGACGAGATGAGATTGAATCTGGACGACGCTGCTTGTCTTTTCAGATTTAAAATGTCAGAAAATCAAATAACTTTGTTGGAAGGTGGTCGTTATAGTTGATCTGTTTTTATAGTTAAAGAAGAAAAACCCGGACAGGCTCAGACAATAACTAACACTCAACACAACATCGTGTCACCATACGATATGTCTCAATCACCAGCAGATGAGAATCAGACGGACTTGGGAGCAGGATTGGCACAACAATGATTTGATGCTTGAGGCATTGGCATCAGGTGCAAGCAAAAATGGCGGCGGTGAAGACGCGCTTCTGCAGCCAAAGTAGACATTGTTAATAGAGGAATTGGTTCAGTTTGTACTAGCAAGACTAGGTGCTGACAATCGTGCGGTATACACAGTGAAACTTTAGATGTTCACAAGGCTGGTTCTCTTTACCTAGGGAACACCGCGTCTTACAGGAATGATTGCAGCAGATCGGATTGCTCGGAATAACAGCATCCAGCCAGCCCCATCACCTCCCGCGCAATGCACGGAAATAGCACCGAGCCGTCGCGGCGACAAAATAGCACGCCAATTGTACACTCGCAGATGTGCCGCCGCCCAGTTCCAAGGCCGCTAGTGGCATCTCTGGTTCCAAGACGCCCTATGACTTCTTCCTCCCGCTCCATGCTCTCTGGCCTGACGCCCAGCTCGCCATTGCCTCACGTCAGACTGGTGTCAAGCGCGGACCGTGTGTTGTCATGCATCATGGCGGAGATGTGTTTGACGCCGGAAAGACGAGCAAGACCAAGCGTAGCATAGCAGGCTTAGTGATACCTTGGATATAATCCTTGGCCATGTTGCTGCCATGTTGCTTGGCACCCGCTGCTCTATAAAGCACGGTCTTTGTTGCCTTCGGGCACTTTGACTCAGTACCATGTTTAACTGCTGCTAGAGCCGCGGCGCGAGGGGATCATGGGCGGTATCGTGATTGACGGCTGCTGGTTTCGTCATCGAATCAAATGAAGCGAGTATTGGTTCTCGACTCAATGTCGTCAAAGAGGAGAAAGGAGTAGGAGTAGGAGGGGAGTGTTGAAAGTAAAATTGATTTACATCGTCGAGATGCAACTATTGACAGAAATAATTTCAGCAAAGGGTCAAAACAACACACGCAGGGCAGGGCAGAGCACAGGATGGAAAGGTAACTTGATCAATCGTCGTTCATGCTCCTTGCGGGAAGAGACGAAGGCGGGGAAGCAAGTAAAGCCCCCCGCCAAAGGTTGATTAATGATGGTACCTAATCCATACATGTCTACCAGCAGTAGGCGCAGGATGTATTGATAATTGCAGGGACTCTTGCATGGATTGGATGGATACTCTCCTCATGTGTTGAAGGTGATTGGCGTGACGTATATGAAGAGAAGGAGAAGAAAAAGAAAAGGACGTCGACCTTAAGAGGCACCGGCTGTCTTGGGTAAGCATGTACCTCACCCTGCCAGTGGGTTTCCCACAGGCCGACACAGCGGCTACTGTTAACTGTGGCGTGACGCCTATCATGATGGCACACTTAGTTAGGTTTGGCTGTGGCGGTGGCAGTGGTAGCTGTGGCGGGTTACATCTAATCAACGAGATACATGTAGGTAACCCTGTTCTGACGCGCCGACATCATTTTCAAAGCCCTGTTGCCACATAAATTTACCATCTACAGCGGCTACTCGGACGAGAACCTCATTCATTTCATCTACTATTAATTAACAAGGCAAACAAGCACAAAAATAGACACGTGCGCACGCATCCACGAGGTAGTGGTTGACTGCGTTTATCTTCCCTCCCCTTTTTCTTTCCGAGTCATTAAATTCCATCTTACCTTCTTTCCCTCCGTATCCCAGGCCCTTCTTAGCTCAAGCTAGCTTCTGCTTCTTTGCTAACACGCCTCATTGAACAGGTCAAGCCGCCGAGGCTTACCGGCACACCCTTGCTGGCCAAGCTCTGCCTCGTTCTCCACCTCGGTCACTCGAGGAGGAGACGTGTCGCAAGGTTGACGACTTGGACCGGAACAACGACGGCCGCAATGCCCACGGCTATCGTGACGAACTCGACGACATTCATCTCTAGCCCAAGGCCAAAGCTACGCTGGCTGCCGTCGCGGTTGACACCTCCCTCCCGACCACCGGCGGCACAACCAACGACAATCCGCCCAAGACAAACCTCGGGCGATCACTTGAGCAATGATGCCCGGCAGATGATGAGCGGCCTGCGCGAGGGGGGCTGCTACATTTGAATCGAGCAGCCAACGCCCGATAAAAAGGCTGCACGCAGTTGCGGCGTACATCATCAATGTCGCCCTCAGATTGCCAACAGAGGCATCAAAGCCTGCACTCGCAGCACAACCTACGACGCCCCGCCACAACATCGTGCTACGACAAATCGGGCCACGACTTGCGGAAATTAGCTGCCAAGCGCGAGCTGGAGATAGAGAGAGAGAGAGAGGATGAAGAAGTAAAGGGGAGCACAAGTGGGAGAGTCGCGTAACTTGTCACAACGCAATTACACGCAGGATCACCAACATTATAGCTATAGTCAACTATTTAAAGTACCTTCCTATTAATAGTACATAACTAGCTGCTGTTAAAGTAAAGGAGGAGGATCTTAGTAAAAGTAGATCTTGAACTTATTAATATCCTATAGCTCTTAGTTGAATTTGTAATTAAGCTTCTAGCTAAGCTAACAGACTTATTAGGTTTGTTAATCTCCTGGATCTTGCTGTGCGGGCGATTAATAGATGTGGGTAGGTTAGCCCCTCCTTGCTTGTAGGGTGCAAGGAACAAGATTAAGGACAACACAAGCGTTAGGCAGCTCCCGCTTTGCGTCAAAGAGTGGGTATCTAGAGTAAGGAGCGACAAGGATGATGATGACGACAACGACAAGGCGATAGCAACCGTCAATGTCGGAGAACACTCTTGTGTTGTTGCGTGCTGGATGGTCTGGGCGACTTGGATGGTTTGGCATTGAAGATGGTCGGATTCGCGGCTCTGATCTCGTATCTAGGTAGGGCGCTCCCTCGACTTGGTAGAGTAAGGTGTGGGCCAGACAGGCCTTGGATGCTAGGTAATGTGATGCAGAGGCATGGGGTGAAGGCAATCCTGTCAGCGCGAGTCGCATCTTTGTAAGCGCGGAGCGGATGGAAGAGATAAGGGACACAAGAGAAGAGCTCCGTCAGTGGCGCAGTATACGTACGCTGAAGAACATGACGGACGGAGTGCCGTTTTGGCTTACCGAACTTGCAGTGTAGACATTGCATTATCTGAGGTTGTTCTCGGGAGTCTGATGGGTCGGGAGTCGAGCCCATCTCGGAGACTAGGTACTCGGCTTTCGCAGCGCATTGGAAGCCGAGGCTCGGGAATTCCCCATCGTGTTCAGTGTTGCGAGAAAACTTGGGGACGAATCGAGGGTCAAAGACGTGGGCGAGATGTAGTGTAGGCAGACGAGGTTGCGTGTTGGGTTGCGATGGAGAACCGACGACTCGAGGGACACGGGGTTTGGCGTTGGGAATAGAATCATGGAGTTGCTATTGATGTAATAATGGGAGGTTTTAGCTTGGAGTGGCGCTGTCGAGCAAAAAGAGAATTGTTAAAGCTTAAAGATATCTCTGGACCTAATTACACCATGCCTCGTTTTGCTTGCAGGAGGGGCACAAGATGTATAAGGTGAGGTGAGGTGAGGTGGGAGCGTATGACAACACCAGCCGAGAAGGCGCGATGTTTTTTTTTTTTTTTTTTTTTTTTTTTTTTTTTTTTTTTTTTTTTTTTTGACCATCTGCAAGGGGATGCAGGCCTCAGCCGAGGTTGTCGTTTCGGCTGCGCAGACCTAACCTGACCCACAAGGGAGAGTCGAAGTTTTTATTTCATTTGTTTTTAGCGTGTTTAGGCGTGGTTCGCGTTCTGTTCTTCTTCTTTTATTCCCCGCTACAAATGGTCTGCCATAGACTCTAATCTCCAGACATGACAATACGTGTGATCTAAAAGGCAGCACCTCTGGTCTATATAACATCCTGATAGGGCCTCTGGCCTTGTATTGTGTGTGTGTAGAGCTTCTGCCAATGACGACTTTCACTTCGGCCGCCGGCCGGCCTGGCAATTCACCACTGAACTTCGAACAGTTAATGGGCACTCTTGGTCACGTGAATTCAACAAGTTGGAATCTGAAATCAAAGGTGTATTATTGCACTTTGGGTATTAAGTAAAAGACTTTTCCCCTCCCACACCTAACTAGCCTAGATAAACTTGCCCTTAGGCAATCCGCCCAGAAGAAACGCTGCAATTCGAACCCTTTGCCGCTGTTGCTGCCGCCGCCGCCGTCCTCCGAGTCAGTCTAAAGTCCCCTGATTTCACGCGCTGCCGACCTCTGTGTTGTCCCGATCCAGCCAATCCAATCACTACTGCTGTTAGCAAATGTCCCAAGCATCATCACAGATCAACTCACCTAACCCATAGTGGCCTATGGATTATCCATCTTATAGATAGCCTCTGTTACTACAAGAATTATATTAGCAAAGTAATTAGACACTCCTTTATGCCCTAAGAGCTTCTTAAGCTCTGTTAGGTTATATTAAAGCTTGTTTATCTTAAGAGAGATCTTTTCCCTTATATCTTAGCTAGAGTCTTTAGCTAGTAGCTTTAGGCTAAAGATAGCTATAGCTAACTTAAAGGCTAAAGGAAGGCTATTAAACTAGGCGTCTTTATTAACCCCTATAAGGCTAAGTTATCTAGTAAGATAGCTAGTTTAAATAGGATCTCTACATACTATATATAGCATATAGTAGTTATATAGCTAGGTTAGACCCTAGGGGTTTTATACTATTAATTACAAGGTTATTTTTAAAGTTATGTTTATATAGGCTTATAAGATATAAATAAGATAGAAAGAGGGAAGAAGAGACTAAGCCTAGCTTTAGCTACCTTTTTATATGCTAGCAAGTAAAGCTATCTCTAGTACTGTTGTTAGTAGTTGTGACTTAAGGCGCAAGGTTTTTAACGACCTTGGTGGCGGCAGAGTCATTGTGTGGCTTGTAGGTTAGTTGCCCTGTTAATGGCGAAGCCATTGCGACCTTGGTGGTAGGTTTAATAATGGCATCATTGTGACGAAGCCATCGCGACCTTGGTGGTAGGTTTGATAATGGCATCATCGCGAGTACGTCAGTCACGCCCTTGTCGTTCAGTGTGGCTTGCCCGCGAACCGGCGCGACCTTATTTAACAGCGTTGCTGCTGACGTTCTGGCGCCTAAAGGTTGGTTGCGTATGTATCTAGGCCATGGTTGAAGTGAAGTTAGATTTGGCTGCTGCTCTGCGTTAACGGGTATTATATACTGTATTAAGATATTGAGATCCGGCATAGGTCAGAGATGCCCTGTATTGGGTTTTATGTACTGTGATATTACATATGTATTGGGTGAACTGCACTATACCACTTATGGGGGTTTAGAGCAACTATATCTATTAATAACATCCTGATAGTTCACAGCGTTGGTGATGGTTATTGCTTAAATGAAGTGACTTCTAAACGACGTCTGAAGTATTAATTGCTACACTGAGTTAACGACAACTGGCCTTTGTACCTACCAAGTAGCCCCAAGTTACCCAGCCCATCTATCAACCATAGCGTAACAAAAGCTTGCAAAGCATCTTGTGGTTTTCGCAAGTCCCAGCCCTAGAGATTAATTAAACCTTTAGGCCTCTATCATCAAGCACCAGCCTTGCTGCATTGATGACCTTGCTCAGCTTCGTGTCCACAGGGTCTACGTCGCTAGCTAGGGCAAATGGGGGTACGTTGCTGCGGAAGCTGGCGTCGGCCGCGACGATGCTAGCGCAGAGGAAGACAAGCAGCTTGCGTCTTGTAGCTGCCTTCTTCATGACTTTCGGTGCAGAGGCAGATGGCGTCCCAGTGTCCTATTTGGGGTTTTCATGATGGCTGCCCATTTTGCGGTGGGCAGCTGTGATTGACCGGGCAGGGGATTGGGGTTTGCGATCGGCAGGGCTGGGACGGCTGGGACAGAGTGGTTGGCTGCGAAGTTTGAGTCGCCACGGAGGGTGGAGGACAGGTCAAGCGGCAGCATATTGGCCTAGCAGTGTGTCGTACGTATGTGCTACGACTGGTTAACGAGGCAAGACAAGACAGACAGACACACATGGAGGGTTGGCTCCGATATTACCTATCTGAGTGGAGAGGGGTGGACAGGCGGCCTGGCTGGCTGCAAGCACATCTGGACGTAGTGGTTTGTTGACTTTGAAGACGCAGCCGATGATGGAGGGATGGATACTTGACTAGGGTGAAGAGAAAAAGAAGATAGCTAGCCGTATATGCGTGTCGGCAAAGGGTGGTCTAATGGCTGGCAGGTTTGTTGCTATTGGGCGGTGGCGAGGGGGCAGCTTTTCCGGCTGCGTGCCAAGCGCGTTGCGCTGTCTTGGATCTGCCATGTGTGATCTCGACATTAGGTCTGACGCTGTTGTGTTGTTAGATCTTTGCGGTCGACTGCGAGGGCTTCAGAGAGGGGGAAGAGACGGGAGAGGGAGATAAGAAAGGTGGAACTGAAATATGGCATACGAGTTAAATGATGGTGCCTCACTACCTAGGGAGGTGCCTCCTACCCTCTTGGGCAAACGTTCTTACCTAAGCTCTCGGTCTCAGTACTTACTTTCTTAGTTGGGGGCCCTTGGAGAGGAAGGAACAAAAACCCTGCGAAATGGCAAGAACCTCGCACTTAGCCTGATGGGTGGATGGGCTGCTGCTCTACACGCTCCTCTTGAATGATCTAGACCCCATTACATAAGCATTGGTTGCTTGCATTCGTTGAAGTAGATTGAAGCTGGAACGATCCTTGGGGTTGCAGTCTGGGAATTGGGGTATATGGAATTATATCTAGCGCTCCTGGAGTGCAAGGGGAGGATGTGGCAAAATTTCGCCACAACCCCCCCCTCCGTTACACCATCGCTGGTGTCATCGCACCAATTGTGTCGCCGCCCAGCGACTCAATGATCCCACCATTGCCTGCCGTCTTGACGTCCACAACAAAGGCACTACGGATGTCCTTTCACGCTCTCAGCGGCACGCCTGTTGACCCAGCCCGACTTCTGCTTCCGCAGGCTGATTATTAAGCAGTGCCTCCGATCATTGGCAAGTTCGTCTACATTCAGGACACCTCCAGTGTTACATAAGCAGCCCACTGGCTGCTAGCTACATAAAGCAGCGACACCACACAAGATATAGATAGACAGAGCAATTAACTACATACACACCACACTAGACCATAACAGTTGGTAGCACAACTGGAAAAATCCGGGCCCACCAGAGTTTTTTAAACTCACCAATCAGAGGCAAACAGAGAAACCAAAATCCAGGCAAATAACCCACCATTATACCCCTTTTCCCCACCTTGCTAGCTTGACTTAACGTCGTCAGCCTAACTACCCCTTTAACCTCCTCTACGTACTACCCCTATTACACTACTTTATTAAACTCTATTAAACGCTATTACCTAACTAAACCTCTGCTATACCCTTACTATACCCCTGCTATCTATGTTAATTAATAACTTATGGCGTTAAATAGCTAAGTTTCTACGTTTTATAGAAACTATAAACCTATCTATTGTTACAGAAGATAATAAAGCAGTAGCTTAGCAGCTACTAGAGGTAATTCTAGAAAACCCTAATTAACCTACTTACTTTAATACTAACTACCTAATTAAGTAGTTAAGTATAGCAAAAGCCTTCCTATACTTCCTCTAGTAGTAGTAACAAGCTTTAAGGACCTACCTTTAAAGTAGCAACAGTAGCAACAACGCTAGTACCCCTCTAGCTTCTACTAAGCTAGCAGTAGAACTACTGTTAACTAACTAACTATCTATAGTCACTATAGGCATTAGTAGACTTAACTTCTCTAGGTTACTAACGCCTTATACCTTAGAAGACTTAACTACTATAGATAGTAATATATATATAGGTCTTATTAACTTTAACAAAGGACACCTTAACAAGAGATATTAGAGAGCTATATCTACTTTATCTTAGTTATCTTTTATACTAAATAATACTTAATAGTATACCTTTAACGTTAAGTAACCTTAAACTACCTAAGCCTCCCTTTTATAAGTTACCTAAGCCTCCTCTTTAT